TATAATACTAAATGACAATGCTTTTCTTATCATTCTAGAAAAGTGTATGCATGTAAAGAACCATATACTCAATTCCTTAAAAACAAATTAACCACTAATATCTTTTAGATATGTTGAGAATTTGCTAAGTATACTACTAATGTCTAAAGGCCAGATATGTCTTCCGAAAATTGATGAGGACATATGAGAAATATCATATGTTTTCTAACAGCACTTTTAGTTATTTTAAGAGTACTTTTAAACGAGTCTTAGAACATACGTGTGATAATTGTATTCCACTATACTACTTACTACTGTGACAAGCGGTAATAATTGTGAGTGAAAATGCAGGATAAAAAGCATCCGTACATTTACCTTTTGTGGTTAAATTTTGTATAGATCGATTGCCTTATTGGGATGTGTTAGGTATGATAAATATAATTATAGAGGATTTATATATAAGTTTAATGACCATTTAAAATAGGATTTTATAAGATATATAGGTGTTGCTAGAGTGCAATACCGTAGTAGCAGTTGTCTTTCGTCCGACAAATGTTCGTAACCTTTTTTTTATGACAAGCGATTACTACTCTGATATAGACTGTACCGGGAGAGGAAAAAGTTGAACATAGGATACATGAGTTGAAGAGGAAAGTTCTATATTTCCAAAGCGCTTTTCATTGAAATACAAGTTTTCATACCCTTACAATTATTAGTAAAGAATCAGCACAGCAATCTTTCTTGTTCAATGGATGCTTGTGCTGATTCTTGTGATGGTATTACCTAAGACATACAAATTTAATTAATTTTTGTTCTCTAGATGAACAATTTTGTTAGTTATTTTATTGATCGATTAATCTACTTAAATGGCACCTACCTACAACTTAATTGTAATATGACAGATTCAACGAAGATGGAAGGGTGTGTGAACCAGTGCTCAAACACCAGTTGCATTGTCAAAAGCTTTTAGCCTCCATAGTTATTTGTATTTTTCTCCAAATAATAAATAAATGAGAAGAGAATAACAATTATGAAGTTCATGCTAATTGTAAAGTTTAACTTTCATTAGTTTTCTTTGGGCACTTCTATCTCCTTAGTTATTCTTATCCATCAAGTGACTACATCTAATAACAAAAAATATGTTGTAGTTAATATCGTTTATTCAAAAAGAAAGAAAAAAGTATAATAAGGGATCTATTAATGACACTCCAAGATTTATTTATTTATTTTTGTGTGTACATACGATAAGAGATCACTCAGAAACTAACTCAAAGAGTTATTACAAACAAGGCAAGTCCTAAGGACCTCATTAATGTTCTTTGGGCACCCCTCTTGTTACAGCTCGTTCTTAGTTTTATCATATATTACTTACCGTGTGTGTAAAATGACCAAATGCCCTTGAAAGGCATAAGTGTTTTACTAAGTTGACTTTTTGGCTCAAGTTTGTTTTATTTTTCTTGGTATTTTATTTTTATAGTACTCGTCGATACGAACATGTAGACATAGGCATAAAAACTACCGAATTGGAGAATCGAATTGAAGCGTATTAAAAAAAATCGAAAAAAGTAGTGTTGACTAAAAAAGTCAAAATTGAATAAAAAATAAAACCAGACTAGCTCAGACCAATTCCAATCCCAGTTTTTGTAGTACCAAGAATGGGTGTAAACTGAACCGAACCGAGGCTATAATTAATTCCTTAATTAAGTTTATTATTTACATACTTGAGTCACCCAATGATTGGTTAAAACCAACCAGATTTATGTGGTTTCACCTGGTGCATATACACTGAATCCTTTCTTATTAGGTTTCCATTACTTTATTTTGAACAATGTTTGGCTACTCAAAGATGAGCAGGAGCTCCTACTCAAAATTCATCGTGTTCGAATCACAGAACTTTGTGCTTATGATTAGAACCGTTTATATTATGAATTACATTGTAAAGATCGTCTTTGCAAAAAATGAATTAGAAATAAGGTCGTAGATCGTACGTAATGCTTTTACAAATTTCATTCATTTGTTTTTGTAGAATTCGATAACTAGATAACCTTAGTTTTAATTAATTTTTGTAGAGGCAATCTTTCTAGAGTAATTTATAATGTGAATGGTTTTGATTATAAACACAAAGTTCTATAAATCAGTAATGAACAATTTGAGTAGGAACTCCTACTCTTCCTTTGAGTAGATAAGTATTATTCCTCTCATAGACTCAAACTCTCTTGCGAAGTTGAGGAAATTGTAGTAATAGTCCCTTAACTTTAACCCAATTGGAGAAATGGTCCCTCAACTTTAACCCAATTGGAGCAATGTTCCCTCAACTTTAACCCAATTATAGCAATGGTATTTCCAATATGACTCATTGTGATGGAATTTTGATGGAGTTGATGAAATGACTATAGTTGCACATTTTGATGAGTTAAGAGACCAACGTTCATGGATTTTTAGTTGAGGGACCATTGCTACAATAGTTTCCTTGAAGACAAATCATTCATCCCTCACTCTCTTTCAATTTCACTCACTACAGTCTCCTCTTTTACTCTTTCTCTCTCAAAGTCGAATCAAATCCTCTAATCTCGCGAAGTTCAATCATTCTTCACTTTCCTTTTTAGTTTCACTAACTTCAGTTTCCTCATTTCTCTCTCTAGAAATTGGATCGAATCCTTACCCTTAGGCAATCAGACTCATTTCATCGTGACCCTGTCTCGTTGAGACTCGAGAGCACCTCTTCCTCCACCACCCCCATAAGGTATGATGTTATTTTAGGGCAGTTTTATATAATGGTTTACTCAAAGGCTTTTCAAATAAAATGGTCCCTAAGATTTTCATAAGTCCTCACTTTGGTCCTTAAGATTGAAAATCGATAGAAGTAGTTCCTAAGTTTGTTCAGCGTACATCATTTTGGTCATTCTGTAAAAAAAAAAAATCTCTGTTAAATTGAGGGTGTTTTTGTCTAATCAACTTCCTTACTTACTTTTCCATTTAACATAGATTTTTCATGAAATGACAAAATGACTGACCATGGACAAACATAAAGACCACTTTTTTCAATGTAGGGGATCAAAGTAAGGACATATGCAAATCCTAAGGACTATTTTGGGTTAAAAAGCCTTATTCAAATTGATATGGGTTTTCAAATTGAATTGTTGGTTTTCTTATTGATCTGGGTTTATTCTAGTGTGTGCTGGGTTATCAAATTGATTAGGGTTTATTCTGGTGTGTACTGGATTTTCAAATTAGGGTTATTCAAATTGATTTGGAATTGGTTTGGGTTTCAAATTGGTATGGGTTTACGTAACGGCACTCTGAGTTTTTTTATATTTGCATAGTTGCGATGAGTGAGTTAACGACATATGTGTTCTGGGTTTTCTTATTGATTTGCATACTGTGTTTATGGGTTTATTTAACAGCTCTCTGAGTTTGCTTGTTGATTTACTATGGATAATGACATGGGCTTGCGGTGAGTGAGTTCTCTGAGGTGAAGGTTGATTGAATAGAGCAATATAACTGGTGTGCTGGCTTTACATTTTTATGTTCAAAATGTTTGATTGTGTACTTAAATTGAGATGTTAATAATTGGTGTATTTCTTGTTTCTGAAATTTGATTCTTGTATGTTCATATTTTGCTTCAGGAGTTAAATCACAAACGTATTAGTGCTCAATGATTCTTATATGAAAACCGAACCTATGTATGATGTTGGTATGTACTTTCTTGGAGGCACATCGAACACTCGAGCTCCAGAAACTATTTAGTCCTAGCAGCTGCCAAGGAAGGAAGGAACTGCTAATGATTGCTTGCTACCAAGGAATTGCAGTGCTTGCTACCAAGGACTTGCTATTCCCATTTGTCATAGGTTTTATAGTATTGCTTTGCGTTTATTATGATCTTCCAGTTTTTAAGTTTTGAATTGGGTTGTAGAATTATGACTTTATCTTATGCATTTTGATTTGGTGTTTGGAAAAGATTTGCTTTGATTTGGTTTGTATATTGATTTAGAATTTGATTTTTTTTGCTTCTTGGACTAATTGAATGCAAGTCTTCAGTTCGGACATTTGTGTTGTTGATTATACAATAGAAATAAAAAAGAGTTATATGCTTACAGGCCCAAAACCATCTATGAAATCGAATCGAACTATAATCAGTCTGATCTGGTCCGATTTGGTTCTTATAGTCAATATTAGGAAAAACTAAACCAAATTGAAATCATAAAAACAATCAGTTCAGTTTCAATTTGGAGGGTGAGCTGGATTGAACCGGACCATGCCCACACTTACGAACAAGTGAGCACGGAAGAAACTGAAAACGGCTCTCCGATGACTCAATTATAACATTTATTAGTTTGATAGTTAGAACATTCCAGTAAGGCTCAAGTTTTACTTAATTCTTTCACTTTAGTCCTAACAGTATAACTTAATTTAGGGTTTTTATTTTGAAAACCCTCATTGTCTCTCTTAACTCTCTTCGCTCTCTCCCTCTCGACAACTCTCTCCCTTTCTCAGAAACACAGTTGGCAATCGGCGCAGTGAGTCCGCCGTCACAACCACTACCACTAGAATTTTTGTTGTTTATTTGTTGAAGTATTCTTTCAAATTGACTTAGAGCAACTCCAGCCCATGCTAAATGGACTGGCACCAAGTGAAGAATATGGACTGGCACCACATTTTGTTGATGATTTATGAGATTTGACAACTATCTTTATTGAGCATGATCTAGATGACTATGACCATGAAATTAATTGTTTATGACTACATGGTATGCATTTCTACATTAGTTACGTGTTTACTTTTAATATATATAACTAATAGTACACTAGTATGATATTTAAGCTAATAGACGCTAGCTCTGCAATCCTTAAATCAATTAATTGTAAATTATCGTTCCTATGGAAAAACACCCAGAAAATAAAATACGTGCACAATAAATAAAAAACCCCCAAGAACTCCCCTAATTTTCTCTAAAAAGAAAACGAAAAAAAACAATAGAAAACTGAAAGTGCTCAAAAAAAAAAAAAAAAAAAAAAAAAGGTTCATTTGGACAAGCTGGCCATGAACTCTGCGTCCTCGGCCAAATCTTGCAGTGTCTGAGGTGGCAAACAAGCTTCAAACTCTATAGTTCCATCTTCTGCCCCAGGAGCCACTGTCAACTTTCCCTCAGCCTTGTTGGATGCGCCACTTCTAACTGCCAGAGGCCTTCCCCAACCAAAGTCATTACCGTACATATTGAACCGCGGTGAGCTTCCCGTCCCGAATGAGTAATCGCTTGCCAAATTATTCAGTTGGAACAGTTTTGGACTCTCTATCCATTCCTCCAAATACTTTCTCACCTCGTTTTTTGTCTTGGAAGCAATCATCTTGTTTATTTCCCAAGCCGCCCAGCCTAGTCCGTGCTCGAGCAAATCGCTCACGGTGGATGTCGCCGTGCCAAACTGAACCAGATTTCCGAGGTACTCTTCAGGTAACGGCGATTGGAATCTTTGTCTTAAGCCTATTTGTAAGGTATACTTGGTCTCTTGGTCGGGGTTGAGATGTTTGTTGCGGATTATGGACAACCAAAGATGAGCCAAGAGTGCTTGAAGGGATGAGATCTTAGTGGTGCCCATCTCGGCATTGGCTTTGGCTTTGAGTTGAGCAATTTTTTCTTTCGAAAATTTAAATATTCTTTGATGGAGGGCGGCGGGTGGTGTGGAAGACCTATTTTTCGGGATTTGATTGTGAAAGTTTGGAATTCGAACCGGAAAATCAATGATGCCGTCAAAAAGTTCACGGCTGAAAATAGGAGGAGGTTGCGAAATTTTTCCACAATTTGCAGTACTAGTTTCTGCATGCCGAGAGATTTCTGACCAAGTATTGAAGAAAAGCCAAAATGTTGATCCATCAACGACAGAGTGGTTCATGGTAAAACCTATGAAAATGCCATCAACCAGCTCTGTTACTTGTACTGCAAGCAAGGGTTTGGACACGCCTTCATAGTTCAAAACTCCATTCATAAAAAAGAATGAGTGAACAATGTCACTGGGAACCAAAACAGGGTCAAGAATATCAGCAACCGTGACACCATCAGCAACAGCATGGATCAATTGGGCTCCGACGCCATTGCAATTGACGGAGAAGGAGGTGGTGTTGTCGTCTTCATTTTCGGTGATGGCAAGACGGCCGGCAAGGGGATAGAAGATGTCTAGTGTGAGGGAGAGGGAGGCTTGTAGGTGTTGGATCAAGCTTTTGTTTGGGTACTTGTCATAAGTAGTGGAGTTTGGTTTGTGGAAGAGAAGGCCCTTTTGGGCGTAGCCGAATAGGATGAACTGCAGATCCCATGGAGTTAACTCAATTCTCTGAGTGGACTCGTTCTGGCTTGTGGGTTGAACAGTGGTTGTGGAGATGCAGCGAACGTGTCCCATCGATCAATAATTCTGTTTGTAAAGAGCACACTTGACTTGGCGGCAACTTGTAAACTTTTATAGGTAAGGGGGCAGCGGGAGCCGCACGCTGCCTCTTAGTCAAAACTTTCAATTGAAAATATGACTTTAACACCTTAAATTCAATTTTTTTTCCATATAAAACCCGATATAATTTTTTTATTGAAAAAAAAACCTAATGACTAGGATCCACCTAAGTAAATTCATTAATTATATATTACTTTACACATTTTACATTTTTTAGATGACTAAAATACTCCTATTGCATATTTGTTGTGCATAATTAATTCTATGCAGATTGTAAGGAGAGAGTTAATGATTTTGCAAAAAAAAAAAAAAAGATATTAATGTTAAAAAGACTCATTGCATATTAATTCAAATATGAGAATTGTTGGCTTAATTCTATGTATCTGCATTATAAGTTCATACACACACACACACACACACACACACAAAAACCCTAATATATGTAATAATACATATAAAAAAAAAGTAATTTACCTACCATGTACAAAAATGTTATTTGATTCAAAATGTGTATAAATATATATATATATATATATATGTATGTATGTATATGTGTGTGTATTTATATAATTAGACCATATTAATTTAGAAAAACTAATGAAAAAGGCTTGAAAAGTTTTAGTTTTAATAAAAAAAAATCATGTTATAAGTTTTGTTTAATGATTAGTACAAGGCTCATATTAAAGTAGTCCAACTAAAAATGACCCAACTATAATAAATTATGATTTGTCGATTTTACTCCTAACTGTTTTAGGTTGAGTTCCAGATTTTCGTCGTTAATAGAGTTCATCATTGTTTTGCAGACCTTCTTCTTTTTCTTTGAAACAAAAATATAGATCCTCATGCTATTTAATTTATATTTTGCAGACCTTCTTCTTTTTCATCGTTAGTGGAGTTCATCGTTTGTTTCTCCATAAAATAAATTTGAGATCAGCATGCTATTCAATAATAAAGATAGGTCATTGTTTCTGGACTGTAAAAATAAACTGTTTCTGGATCCAAATGAAACAAACACACTGTTTCTTAAATGTAAGTTAGAAAAGAAATAGTGAAATTCATTGTATTTGGATTCAAAGCAAAATAAGCAACCTATTTCTTAAATATAATCAATTGATGCATGAAAGAAAAGAAACAATCAAATGTTAAAACATAGACTGTTTCTGGAATCTAAGTAACTGTTTTTGAAATTTAAGTCACTGTTTTTTAAATTTAAGTCACTATTCTAGATTTTGGTTCTTTTCTTTCCTGATATAGTGTTTGTTTGTGTACAGACAAAACAAACACTGTATCTGATTTTTATTTTTTTTTTCCAAAAATAGTGTTATATTTTGGGTTATCCAGAAATAGTTTTATGTTTTGGTTTTTTTTTTATTATTTTTTTTCAGACACTTTTTTGCTGGTTTCTGCCATTAAACTTCTTAGAACTTGTTTTGGAGGCTTTGTTTCGACGAATACTTCCTTTTTCAACTTTGATTTGGTTGTTTTTGAAATGGGGGAATTCGATTTGATAGGAAGACATGGAGTTATTATGGCAGTTTCGTGTTGGGTTGAGGTTGGTGAAGAGTCAAGACAATATCAAATCATTTAGGAGTATTTACGGGAGTGTAGATTTGTAGTGGGTTGGGCTTGTAAGTTTGACCCGTCGACAATAGTTTTGGATGGTTTTTTTACTAAACTTTGAGCCCTTTTGGTTAAATAACATTTTGGGATGATTTTTAATTAAATACTCGTTGGCCCAAGCCCTTTTCATTGAAACTCTCTATTAATTTACCTAACTACTATTTGAAATGTTCATTTCCAATGATGCAAAATAATTGTATACCAATAACAAAATATTGCATAAACTTAGGAATTGGATCATGCTTTTGATTTTATCTTTTTACCTACAAACAATCATATACATATTACTTTATATATTTTTACCATAAAAAAAGGTCCCTAATAGGCTAATATACGTAATAATACATGAAAAATAATTTACCTACCATGTATACAAAAATGTTATTTGATTCAAAATATATAATCTAGGTTTTCTCCCAAAAAGAAAAAAAAAAATATATATATATATATAATCTAGGTGTAGTGTGTGTGTATATATATATATATATTTTTTTTTTATAATTGGAACAAATTAATTTACTTCCTAATTAATGCAAAACATATATATCACAAAAAAAAAGGTAAATTTTTGGTATGATATGGATACAATTAATGCAATACAACAATTTATATATTTTATTTCATTTTTTCTACAACTTTAAATTTGGAATAAATTTAGAGATTTGGGAAAGTAGCATGGATGTAAATAAATTGTATTAGTAGTTCAATAGTGTTCCGATGTGGCTGTAGATTTTAAATTTAAGCTTTTATTGAACGTTTATATATAGATGAGTTTTTATTTAAGAATAATGAGTTGTAAGGATTAAAATCTAAATCATTCAATTTTTAATCAAACTTATTTGAGCCCTTGCCAATTGCAGAACCAAAAATGCCGATGACTTAAAACGTGGATGGTAGCTGGTGGTGACTCATCACATAATGACAGGACCACTTTCAATTGTTTGGCAACTGGAGCCATCAATAAACCGAATCTTCAAATATTTGCGACGAAAATTAGTTATCACTCGTTTGAAAATGTTTTAAAAATAATTAAAAGTGTTTTTTGTGAAATTGATTTTGATTTTCAAAAGCAGTTAAGTATTTTAAAAGGGCATTTCACCTATATGGCGTAGCAAATCCCATTTGCCTAGACCTTTCCTGATACTCTTAAGGTGCGTTTGTTACATCGAATTATCTCGGACTGAACTAACTTGAGGAACGAAATTGGATTGGCTTGTCATGGACTAAGTAGTATAAGAATAATGAAGCGTTTGATGCAGTGTCAGGCTAAATGCTGGATTAAATTATTTTAGAGTTACAATACTTTTTTGTCATTTTTAATTCATTTTATTATTTTTTATTTGACTCTCTCTCCTAGATCCTCTACTTTTCTTCTTTGGTTTGCATTCTGTTATTCGCAAGCCTAGATTTTTCCCATTAATAATCAAAACCCATAAACTTTCTCTTCTTTTCATTTGCTTTCTCTTCAATTAAAACCCATATTTCTCTTCTATTAATTTACCTTCTCTCCAAATCAAACCCAGAAAAATCCCAATTTTTTTTTTTCAATTTGCAGAGGCTTGTATTGTCGGATTTGCAAATTGATTTCTATTGATCTCTGCAAATCAATGACAAACTTGTAGACGCATCTTCCTGGTGGAGAACTTAACAGACTTAAGAAGGACGCAACGGTCGGAGAAGGAAAGCGTAACAGTGGTGGGTTAGAGATCTGTGGAAGACGATTGAGGAAGTCGAAGCCTCAGCACGATGATGATGTGAAGCGCTAGTCTTAGCAATCTCATCCTTTTTGCCCGGCCTCACTAAGCCCAGCTAGTGAAGAGTTTAGTCAGAACAAATCCAAGCTAGTCCCATTAAGCTCAGTCCTGGCTTGCACCAAACACAGATTAATATTCTTAGCTAAGCCAGTCTAGTCCAATGAGGTTTAGTCAAACAAACACACCCTTAAATGACATAACTTCATAATATTCCAACTATAAGAGCATCTCTAAAGGAGATGTCAAATATAATATGTCAAAATTTTATTTGATGGTTGATGTGTCAAATTGAATACAAATACTAAATTCTCTTATTTTCCAATGGATGTGTCAAATATTTATTTTATTATTTTATTGGTCCTAGAGTTACATTAACTATTAAAAATAATCAAAATTAATTGTAATTTTTTATTTTATTGGTTGTTAATGAGACTCATGTATTAAAAAATTCAATTAAATATATTTGACTCATTTTTTGTTTGCTGTCAAAAAGACATCTAGAAAGTAAGGAGTCAAATGACTCACATGCCACATCATATATGGCATATCCATTAGAGAACACCTAAATGTCTTTTAATCCTATTTGACATATTTGACATCTCATTTGGAGATGGTCTTAAAATTATAGTCCAACTTTATATGTAAAACTTCAAAATATAATATTTTATATTTTTATTGTATTTTACTTTTGTGATAAATATCTATTTTCCCTTCACGCACCTCCATGAGAAGGGAGGATGCATCCACACCTATGATCAAATCACAGATATTTTCACGATTTTACACCAATCGCTTCTGTTTTCTTGTCTATAAGCTTTCTATTCTTGCTCGTCACATCAGCTTACGGGGCTGTGATCGATAATATTATGTAATTCCTGATTTGTAGAGATCTTTCATGATCTTTGATTGATTCCCAAATCATTTAGATTAGCCTTCCTATTATGTAATCCTTGTACTGTATACCTAGCCTTTGTAACATTATATATTGAATTAGAATTTTTTTGTTTTCTTGTCAAATGATAGATTTGTTAGATTAGGAAGCCTCATACCTTCTCTATTTTCTTTGATGTGCTTTCTGCGATTCCATTGCAGTCCCATAATCTTATACTCACAATTTGATCTCTGTAGGACACTCATTTATAGAGGCATAAATGCTTAAAGGCGCTAGCCAAGAAGGCTATAACTGTATGAAACAAAACAAAGTGTATGCTCAAAACAACTCGATCACTGGTCCATATTTCTTGACTATGAAGAAAGTTGAGGTTCTACCATAAAATCAATTGGTAATATGGGGAGTAGCCCAACTTCTTATAAGTCCATGCAAGGTTTATCCTCCCATTAATATGAGATTCATCAACACCCTCCCTCACGTGTGGCAAATTTTCAAGCCTAACACATGGAGAACACAACGGGATGATATGGAGCGCGTGTGATCGTTTAGCTTCATACGTGGAACAACCTATTCTGATACCATCAAAAAATATGGACCAGTGAGGTTTTAGAATGTTGCGGCAAAAAAGGTTCTATATTGGAATTCTTGACTGATCTATCAGTCATGGTATTCACTTATATATAATTGTA